TCATTGTGTGGCCATGGTCATGTCATAACTTCTCTGAGCCCCAATATCCTCATCTGTCAAATGGAGGCATTTTTATGAGGCTAAGAATGATCATATATATGACTTGCTCTGCAAATTTTTAAACTGCTATGTAGATTTCAGTGGTCAGTAAGTGAGAAAGTGAGAGAACCAGTGTGTGTGTTTCATCTTTAGAGGGGAAGAGAAGGTATTCATACCTTTTAATAGATAATCTTTGGCTGCTAAAATAGTTCTTATTGAAGAAACTAGTAGCTGTAAGTTGGACAAAAAGAAGTTAATTTAAAATGAACAATGTGAGAATTAGGTTTAAATTATTTTTCGAAGGACTGAATATAGAAATAGATGGTCTGCTTATCAAGCTTGCACGTGACACAATTAGGAAGGATAGATCAGACATTGGATGGTAGTCAGGATCCAAAAAGATCTTAACAGCTAGAATGCTGGCCAAACTTGCACTTGAGTTCAAAACTCAACTTCACAGGTATAAAAGGTTATAAAAAAGCTGTATAGCAGTTCATTTGAAAAAGATGTGGGTGTTTTAATGGACTCCAGAGTCAGTGTTGGTTAACAGTGTGATCTGGCCGTCAAGAACCATAATATGATCATCTCCCAGTACTTTGTCAGGCAATATCTATTGTGTTCAGTTCTGGGACTACTTCTTAATAATGGTATTGAGAAACAGGAGAACATCCAGTGGAGGGTAACTAAGACAAGAAAAGTCCTCAGTTACTGGAAGGAGGAATGTGGAGATTGGAAAATCCAGAACTTAAAGGATATATTACAAAGGTCTTCAATTTCTTCTTGGCCCCAGAAAGCAGCACTAAGAGTGAAGAATGGAAGTTTCAGAGAAGCAAATTTGGTCATGATTAAGGAAAAACACATTGTGCTATCTAAAAATAGTGTACACTACCTTAGGAGGTAGTGGGCTTCCCCTCACTGGAGGTCCTCAGAGATCATATGACCTCTCTGATCTCATCACTGTGCTGCTAACTCAAGCCTTGGATGTTCAACACCTCCCCACCTCCCTCAGCTTTCTCTCGCTTCTGTTTGGAGGGATGGAGGGTGGCGCACTCAATTCCTTCCAAAGTCTTCCTTCATAGAGCTGAATTTGAATATCCCCCTCACTCCACTTGCCATCTGTGGCTCTGCTTGGCTTCAGCTATGGAGAACAAGGTGCCTCCCTATTCCCACATTGCCTCCCACATTCCCACACTGCTCCACATTGTCTTCCCACATTAGATTGTAAGCACTTTGTCTTTCTTTTTCTTGTTTCCCCAATACGTGGCACAGTACCTGGCAATAGCAGGTACTTAGTAAGTGTTTACTGAGTTGTTATTATTGTTTAGGGGATTATTATTTAGAATTGGCATGGACTAGATTATCTTCTGAGGTCCCTTCCAACTCTGAGGTTCTGTAATTCTAGATAAAACGGATTCTCTAATCTAAAACATACAAGTAGCTGGAAAGCACAGTGGGTATAGCGACACACTTGGAGTCAAGAAGAACTGAATTCAGATAGAGCCTCAGACAGTAGCTGTGTGGCCCTGGGCTAGTTACTTAACTCTGTTTGCCTCAGTTCCCTCATCTGTAAAATGAGCTGGAGAGGGAGATGGCAAACCTGTCCAGTATCTCTGCCAAGAAAACCCCAAATGGGGTCACAAAGCAAGGGAAACAACTGAACAGCAACAATCTAAACAATGGGAGAGGTCAAAGAACATACAGTTTTGCTATGTTTTTCCACTATTGGTATATTCCCCAAAAAGGAAGAAAGTGAAGGTTTGGATGTGGAGTGGTATTAAAAAAATAATAATAATACCAAGGTTGAAAGTCATTAAAAGCCAGGAAATTCCAGGTTTTGCTCTTTTTTTATTTCTTTTCATACTTACTGCCCTGAAGTCTAGATTGTTTACCAGCAATGTGGATTTCAATTAAGTGCTGTATTTGTTATGTATGTGTGTTGCCAGAGATGCTGTTGATATGAAGGAGTTGAATGCAGTAGCTTTGGGCTTTTATCAAAATAATGTTTTAATAAGCTTCATAAGGCCTTTGAAATTTACCACAATCTGTAGTTAATTTAAACTCTTTGTGCAGCATGGAAGAACAAATTTTTTTTTCCTGAACAATGAATTCATAAGCAGACTGTCAATTTAAAAGACAGGTTAATGTTTATGGAATATCCAGATATGAGTTAACACTCTCTACTTACATTTATCATGAGATTTGGCATTCTTTTTTTCAAATAGTATTTAAGAAAACTTGAATTAAATAGTTAAGTAACAAATATAGAATCAGAGTCCTAGATGACCTCAAGTCTACTACTCCAGCCCCTTCACGAAGCATGAATCCCTCTTCAACATCCTTTTATCTGAAAATTTTATTTTTCTTATGTTTAGCCAAAACCTGCCCTTCTGCAACTTTCTAGTTCTCTTTTCCTGGGGCAAGCAGAATAATTTGAAGACCATTCTGTTCTAAGTTCCCTAACGTGTACTCTTCTCTTGGATAAATAGCGTTAATTCTCTGAACAGATCAATGTAGGATGTGCTTTCCTGGCCCCTTGCCTTCTGATTTTTCCTTCCTCTGAATGTGGTGTAATGTGGCTTTGTCAATTCTGAAATGCAGGGCCCAGAATTGAATGCATTGTGCTAGCTATGGTGTAGACCAAGCCATAGGACCCTACTTAGCTTTTCTCTAAACTTTTTGGAATCTTCCCTGAAGTAGGTAGGTGCATGTGTACTGGATTGTGTCTAGGAATCCCCTCCTTGTAATGTTACAGATATTCAGTGGAATAGTCATTTCCTCCCAATTTTCCCTTTTTATTTCACAATCCACTTCATTATTGTTCCAAGTCATGTCCAGGATCTCATTTCCTTTTCGTTGCTTCATTTGTTTTTTGAATGATAAAGTATTTGTCATTTCAAGGATTTATAAAATGCTCTGGTTTGAGTAGGCGACCTCTAAGAGATGCCCAGAAAATTGGTCACCCTTGCCATAAGCCTGGCTTTCCTCTGCGCTAGTTTTGTTTGGAAAATGTTTCAAAGATCTACGATTTACCAGCTCATACTCCCTGATACTGACACTTTTTTCCTATAAAACCTAGGCTAGTAGTCTCCAGTAGAATTTTTCCAGGATACTACAAGTATTCATGTTCTGTGCAGTTTTGGACAGTTTTTGAAGTTAATTTTATTCTGCCTTGGAGATTTTTTGGTTCCTTACATTTTCCACAGCTTCTTCAGTAACAACTGCCACTGTCCTAAATTTCTTTTTAACATTGAAGAATGCTGTATGGAGCGTCGTGATAAGAGTCTTCTGATCTTGGAGCTGGACACAACCTAAGCCATCATCTCATCTTGCCCACCCCCAACCCCCCCCCCCCCCATTTAACAGACTAGGAATCTAAGAACCCGTTACGGACAGCCAGAAGAGAAGCTCTGGAGGAAAGGCCCTCCAGAAATGTTTGTCCGACCACAATTTTAGAAGTAAAGATGATTCTCTTTTACTTCACCATTAAAAAGTCAGTGGTACATGTATTTTTTTTTTTTAATGTTTAGCTATACCCATGAAGATTCTTGTTACTTTGATTCAATTCAGTAAACATTGCAAGGCACCCGTGATACAAAGACAGAAGTAGCCCTTGCCCTTATGGAGCTTATATTCTGTTGAAGTGATAAAGCAGGAGCCCAGTGCAGTAGAAAGAATGGTACCGAGTCACAGCCCTGTGTTTGAATTTGGGTCTTGGTTTCCTCATTGAGGGGATGGCTGGAGAGCTTCCCAGGTCCCTTCCAGCCAGTGAAGTAGGAATGTTTGGGGGTGAAATGCTTCAGGACCTAGGAATGCGTTAGTACAGGGAAACCTCCTTTACCAGTGCATATGTGCAGTGATTCTGTAACTTGTAATAACAGCTGGGATACTAAAAAGGGAGGTGACTTAAGGGATTGGTTCCCATAGCCATTATCAAAGGCATCACCCTCCATTACACCTTGCTGCCCTTCAGATCATCCTAGGGAAACTGAGAAAAAGAAAACCCTCTGAGGTCATTATAACTGCAGAAACTCCAAGACAGTGAATATAGGCACAAATGTTCTCTGTCACAAAGATATTTTTATATCTTGAAAGATGGCACATAGACATAATACTTTGTTAATCTAGTTATAATAAATCCTGAATACAGTCCTATGCCTTCTCTGGCTACAATCCTGCACTCTGCAGGCAGATCACCTGATTGTATATGAACTGAGCTCTTATACTTGTTTTGTTCATTTCGTTTTACCTTTGAAAAAATGCAAAAAAAAGTTCAAGAACTAGGGAGAAGGTATGATGGGGAGGGTTTTTTTAAGTATATGCTTAATGCAAGCTTATTTGTTATTCTTGATTCATCGTATGAATCTGTGATCAACTGTTGGCATTTTTGAGATCCTGCAGAATAGAAATATAAATCCTTGGAGAGTATCCTTTTCAACAAAATTTCCGTTATGGTAAAAATAATTTACATGTCTGAATTCCTTATGCTATGTTTTACCTATATTAATAGTTTTTCTGTTAATTTATAAAATAATTCCAGTAGTTTGAAATTTTCTAATTTTTTAAATACAGGATTTGTAATAAGGATTTAATTTTAAATAATTTGTTACTTCTCAGTAAAATAACCACGGAATAATCATAGGTATATGAAGTTAGAGCTGGAAGGTACCTCAGAGTCCATCTAAGTCTCTCCGCTCATGTCAAGCTGGGAAATTTGAATCCGGGTTTTTCTGCCTCCAGATTCAGCATTTTCTGGTCTATGATACATTGCCTCTCCAGAGTTTGAAGTATACACCAAAATCAGCCACTCTTGCTGATAGATTAACACATGCCAGCCGTCACCATTCTGCATATCTACTGATCCCTCACAAGTATATACAATATTGACTCCAGGTTTTTGCACATAGTTTTAGATGCATATGATGTTTTCTATCAATAAAATATCTCTGCTTTTCCTCTTATAGCTATATGCAGGAGCTATTCTTGAAGTATGTGGATGAAAATTGGGGCGGTTCCCTCAAGTCCAGGGTAAGTAAAATTGTAATTTAGGGATTATATCCAAACCTGTAAATTCATAGGGAGCTCCCTGGTTGAAAACTTTATCAACCGATGGAGACCTGCAGTGCTTGTACCTTTTATAGTCTTAGAGAGATGCTGAAGGCACTGAGTGTCTAAGTGACAGGGTTGGATGGAGAGGTTGTCAGAGTTGACTGAAACCAGGACTTCCTGACTCCAAGGCCTGCTCTGTACTTGCTAAGGCATGGTGCCTCTTGACTAAAGTAAATCACTTAAAATAAGCATTTTCATAACATAACTACCAAGAGAAATAAACATTTTTAAGATAACAAGTTCTACATATTTCATGAAATGTTTCTCAAATCTATTCATTTGTATTGCTGGTGATCTGGAAGCTAAACAATTCATTCTTTGCTTTATAAAAGGACTTATGTTCAGATTCATTTAATTAAGATGTGCATACCCCAGGGGTAAGATGGAAGTCTCTCTTTTCACTCCAACCATCATAATGTACCTTAAACACACGTCTGCTCACATTCTTTCAGTGACTCCAAATTGCCTATGATCAAACACAAACTCCTTTGCCTGTGTTGCCTTTAAAGACCCTCCACAGTCAAGGATCCCACCTCTCTCATTTCCCACCATTCCCCTTGACAGCCCCGAGGTCCTGGCCAATTCTCCAAATCTAACATCCATCTCCACATGTCAGACTTCTTGTTGCCTTTAAGGTGGACTCAGGTGCCTGTGCAGTGAAGCCTTCCCCGTCCCTGCTCACACCCAGCCCCGGTTGCTTAGGCTCTTTCTCCTCTGTTTACCCTGTCGTGTGTATTTGTGCCCTCTCCCAGGATGAGGCAAGCTCCTCAAAGACAGGGACCATTTTGTTTATGTCTTTATTCCCAGGGCCCAGCAGAGTGCTTTGTGTGTACCTGGAATTTCATTCCTGTTTGGATTGAATTCCCAAAGAATTTGATTACAGAAAGGGGTTTTGACTCTTGTCAAAGAGAGAATCAGAAATAATGAACTCCAAAGGATATTCATTTGGAAGAAAGCAGCTTGTATGAAAACTTTTAAGATTTTAAGAGTATATTTGAACTACAAAAACGGCTCAAGGTTTTCTGCTTCTGTCCTTCTGGTCACTTGAGATACAGTTTACAGAGTTGAGTTTACCTGAAGTTCTACCGCTATTTTCAAAATGCCAAGATTTTTAGATTTTCCTGAATACTTGTATGCTAATTTTATATTTGATATTTTCATGCTAATTTCCTTCCTGCCTAATACCCCAAGTGTGCTTTTCCTTTTTCATACAGTGACAGGATTAATTTCTGAGTTCACTGTGTTATATCATTACCCATTTAGCATATACATTTTATTGCTGACCTAGAATGCTGTTGAATAAAATATTGCTCATTTTTGTCCCCTAAATCTAGCAAAGTAATGGTAATAGATTCAGCTATGCATCTGGGTAACCCATTACATGTGTATTTGGGCCCTGTCATCACAATATCAACATGCACATTCCATTGCTGTTTAGTATAGGTCAGAACTGTCCGAAAGGCCTGCCAGAGAGGAGCCGTGGAGCCTCATTAGTGAGCTCACTGTGCTGTAATAAAGAGACAAAAGATTTCCCTTCACCTGGTGTGAAACACCTACACTTAGCAAAACACACTGGAAATTCTTTAGCTAAAACTGATTAAAAATACAGACAAGGTTATTTGTTGAAGAGAAGAAAAAGAATAAGAGTGCTAAAAGAATGAGGGGAAGGGGCTGTGGGTTGGAGAGGGATTACAGTGACTGATTAAACTAAAAATTATTCCAGTAAGATATAAACTCCTTGAGGTTAAGGACTTTTTTTTTTGTTTTGACTTTTTATCCCCGATTCCTATCACAGTGAGTGAAACATAGTAGAGGCTTGATAAAATTGAATTATTTTTGATCTAAAATACTTCAGGACAGAGGTAGAACTATATTCTAACTTCATGAAGGACAAATTTAGAACTGTTAGGCAAAATCCAGTGGGGTCACAATGGGAAAAAACCTAGACTGAAAGAGTCCATAAAATAATTTTACTGTATCCAGACCTATCATTAAGCCAGTTGGACCTATTGTTGGGCAGGGAACCTGTAACAAAGATTATTTGGGGGCATTTTGTATGCAAACTGTAAATAGTTGCAAGGCAACATAAATATATTGCATATTGTTGCATATTGGATTAAGCGCATGTTTTCAATTTGATAGAGCCTAAAACATAAAAGCTTTAGCCTCTGCTTTCCTCCAAAAAAATTCACCTTGTATGATTTTTCTATTCCTCAGATAACTTTAATCTCAAAATGGTACTACCATTCAGCACCTTGACTTTTCTTGTCAGTCAGTCATTAAGCATTTATTAAGCACCTACTGTGTGCTAAGCACTGGGAATACAAAGAAAGGCAAAAGACAGTCACTGCTCCAGTGACAGTCAGCTGCCCCAGAAGGGGATAAAAAATTAAAATCTCAACTGGTTTTTCACCACATTCAGCTACACCAGTGATAGTGCTACTCAAGCATTTTCATTAACCAGTTCTCAAAATACCACTGCCTGAAATAGAAGGGTTTGTGATTTTATCTTGAAGAGATTGGTAGTGGTGGTGCGGGGAGGGGGCACTGAGAGGTGATGGTGTTTGAAATATAAGATGATTTATATTGAGTTAAACTTACTATTCTAAGGTAATGGCAGCAAAGGAAAACATTGTGAAGGGAAAATGAACATCCCCTCTGTCACCCACCTCCAAAGAATCTTTGTCTGCTTAATCACTTATTATAATCACAGAATTTTACAACTGGGAAGAACCTTAGAGATCATTGAAGCCAACCCCTTTATTTTATATATGTGGGGAACTGAGGCCTTAAAAGATTAAGTGACATTCTGCTTAGTGGCAGAATAAGAATTAGAACCCAGGTTTTCTGACACCGACTGAGGGTTTTTATGGATGTTTCTTTTTTTTTTTTTTTTTTTTTTTTTACCATGTCCTTCTTGTTAATACAAAGCATTTTTTCACTCTTTCCCATGTTTATATTCCAGTCATCTAGACCATGTCAAATTCATTAGAACTTCCAGCACACCTTTTCATCGGTGATTTCACTGATAAATCTTCAACATATGTATTGTCTGCCTTTTTAGATTTTAGAAATCTAAATGAATCCTAAATTACAACCACATTTTGTATTTTTAAATATTATTGAAGTACTGCCCTGATGTGGTTTCATTTAAAACAAACAAAAACTGTTTTTTCTTAGTTGCCATTTGGCCTCAGTATGATCTTTCAATATGTCTTCAACCTTTTGACTGAGATTTTTACTTCAGTTTTACCACTAGCAATGCCAGGAGCCTCTAAAAGTTAAGGTTTCACTGAAAAAAACCACACTGGACAAAGCAGTGAAATCAGGACTGTGGAATCCTCGCCAATACTTGTATTCCCTTGAGAGCCCCATAAATTACATTGTGATAAGAATCGCAGAAGTACAAAAAGCCATGAGTATTTTATCTTGTCTTTCATCATTTCTATATTTGAGTACATCCCAGTATTACTGACAGTGCTGCCTGAATAACTGTCAAGTAACTGGAGTAATTGATAGAAGAACATCTTCCAGAAATGGATGATCAGATTAATCTCTTCTCTGAGAGACTCTTGCACTGATGTCATTGATCAGACTGTTTTTAAAAATAGCATTAAGTAGACTAGAAGATGGTAACTTGGTTACCTTCAGGGGCTCTATTTGCTAGCACAAGTTTTTTGTATCTAAATTGTTCTTTCTAAATGCTACCTTCAAAATGTATTTGAAAGAGGTCATAAAAACCCCAACGTCCTTTCTTCTGGACTTTTTTCTTTGCTATTTTACAAGTTTGAAGGTTAGTACCCGTAGAGACAGAGCACAAGGAATTTGGTTGCAGCATGGGAACGTGTGAACATTAAATCAGACATTACTCTAAACAAAGCATCCTAATTCTACTATCTATTGATTATAAAGTTTTTGGTTTTAATGCATTCTTTGTGAGATTTTGCTTGTTATTTTGTGAAAATTTATGGGACTTTTCTCCTAAATCCTGTGTATTTACATTGAGAATTTAAATGCACTAAATGCTGCATTCAGTAATATAGATAATTAATGTTAGTATGCGAGGCAAGAAATGTATTTAGAGACCAATAAATTTGTTTATTGCAGCTGATGTGTCATAGACAACACAACACTTCGTTTTTGTGAATCTTTGGGAAGACATGGTCTTCTGGCCGTCATGGTGGTTTCTGACATAATATTTCTGCTCAGAACAGAGCCATGGTTAAAATTGAGTGACATACTCAATTCTAAAACCATAGCCCAGTGAATGTTGCTCACTGACTCCCAACACCTATTGGGCCTTGCTTCATTCATTTCCATGGCAAAGCCTAGTATTTACTGGTCTTTAATTGGATCCAGATTGTACCGAACCAGAACTAAAGGCACTGTAATGTGAATAAAATAGGCATATATACTCCTGCTTTTGACAGTAAGAAAAAAATCTAAATTCTAAAGTATTTTAAATTTAAAGGAAGTTTTATTTCAGGGAGCTATGAGATAGATGTCACCTGAATAATAATTTACTTCAGTGAATTTATTAGTTATTTGGATGCAGATATAAAAATGGTTAAGAATAATAGCTATAATATATGCAGTTCTAAGGTTTACAAAATACTGTACAAATATCTCATTTTATCCTTATAATAACCCTGGAACATGGGTGCTATTATTTATCCCCATTTTGCAGGTGGAGAAACTGAGGCAGAAAAGTTAAATAACTTGCCCACAGTCATGCAACTACTAAGTAGCCAGATTTTAACTCAGGTCTTCCCAACTGCAAGTCCAGTGCTCTATCCACTATACCTAGAATTTCCAAATGACATAAAGCTGGAACATTTATCTAATGATTATTGGATAACAAAATTGTGACTCAGAAATAATCTTGGTAGTTGGGAAAATGAACTGCAAATAATATGAAATTAAATAGTGATAAATGAATTCCACATAGGTTCACAAACCATGACTATGTAAGATAAGATAAGGGAGATCTGGCTTGAGAGCAGTTAATATGAAAAAGATTTAGATTTTTGTGGCCTTCCAAGTTCAATATGAGTCAACAGTGCTGTGACTGCCAAAAAATAAAAGCCAATTCCATTTTAGGCTGTATTGTTAACGGCGCAGGACTCCCTGATCATGGGCATTAATAGTCGCACTGTCTTCTTCAATGACCAGGCCACATCAGGAGCACTGTATTCAGTTCTGGGTACCACAATAGGACCATTGACAAATTAGAGCGCGTCCAAGAAAGCAGATGGGAGAATGATAGGGGTGAGGGGGGTCCCAAAATGAGGTCACATGAGAAACAATTGAAGGATCTGTGGGGATGGTTAGACTTTAAGTTGGGGGAGGGAGGAGAAGGAGAGAAGGTTGAATATTAACTATGAAGAGACATCCTCTGTTAAGTCTATAGGACAAAACTAGAAACAGCGGGTTGAAGCACGAGGAGATCACTTTTGGCCAGCATAAGAAGAAATCTTTTAACAGTGGGCTTTACACAGATGGAAAGGCGTCTTGTCAGATCACTAGTTTTAAGCTACTGGACATGTTGGAAAAGGAATATCTGTGTGATAAAACGGATGGAAACTTGAACTAGATGAGTTCAACAAAGCTCCTGGTTACTCTGATCCCCTGAGGACATGTCAGCCAAGGCATAGAGAACATGATAAGGCAGTCCGTGTCCAAAGAAACACTGCTCTTGGAGATGTAGATTTACAGCAGTTTGAGTTTAGGGGGATGCCTACTGACCTGGAGTAGGCAGACCTAGGTTCAAAAGCTGTCCCTGTCACTCATGATCTTGGTTAAGTTACTCTTTGGCAAAGTGGAGCCGTGTGAAATACAGTCGCCCACTTAGGTGTGTTCTAAACATATTTGAAAGGCAGAATTCAGAGTAATTATCAATGGTTTGAGGTTGCCTTGGAAAGGAGCCCCAGGGATATGTGCTGACCCTATTTCATTTTAAAATTTTTTATCACTGATGTGGACAAAGGGCATGCTTTATCAAATCTGCTGATGATACAAAGCTAGGAGAGATAACTAACTCTCTCGATGGCAGAATCGGGATTCAAAAAGATCTTGACCAGAACATGGGGCCAAATATAATGTGAACTTTAATAGGAATAAATACAGAGTCCTTTGTTTGAGTTCACAGGGACAGGATGTAGGAAGTATAACTAGAAAGCAGCTCATCTGAAAGAGATCTGGACACATCCTAGAGGAATGGAGCCATCTTAAGCTACATTCAGGGAGGCCCCCTGTCCAGGAGTTGAGTTGTGGTCATTCTGCCGTACTCAAGCTTGGTCAGACCATGTCTGGATTATTACGTAAAATTCTGAGCACTACTTTTTGCCAAAGACATTGATAAGACGAAAAGCCCCCAGAGGAAGACAGCTGAGATCACGCCATCTGGGCATCGGTTGGAGGAACTGGGGGGTGTGGTCAGGAGAAGAGAAGATGAGAGAGACATGATGGCTGTTTTCAGTATTTGAGAGACTGTCATCACATGAAAGAGACATTAGACATGTTCTATTTGGTACTCGAAGACAAAGCAAAGTAACTGGTTAAAAGTTGCAAAGGGGCAACCTTGAAGCTGTTGGAAGAGGAGGCAGTATAGTACAGTGGAAAGAGCTCTGGCCCTACAGTAAGAAGCCCTAGGTTCGAATCCTTCTTTGGATACTTATCTTCCTAGGCCTCGGGTTCCTTATCTGTAAAGTGAGGAAGTTGGATGGTTCTTGAGGTCTCTTCTACCTCTAAATATGATATATGACTTTCTAACAATTAGAGCCTACCCAAGGGCTGTCTTGTGTTTCCACTCACTGGAGGCCTTCAAGCCAAGCCAGGTGGCTTTGCTGGGCATTTTGTAGACAGTATTCTTATTTGTGGATGCATTGGATTGGATCAGATCGCTTCCAAGATTCTGGGATTCTCTTACCTTTCAAGGCTTCTGTTTATTCCATGTCTGTAACACAAGTGTCATAGTATTTCTACAACTTAGGCCGCAGGATTATAAGAATCAAAAGAAGTCATTAATAAATTCATGACCAAAAATGTTCCTGGTGATTCATTAAATGTTGTTACACTGCCTAATTCTGAGCCGCAAAAGAAGTTTGCAAAAGGAATAAGTGGTCATTTAAGCCAAGTAGAGAATGATATAGATTATAATCAAGAATTTTATGTAAGTCCATAGAATAACAATGTGTTTTAACTATTCTTTGATTGGCTTATTAAATCCAGCAAACCTGACACTACTAAGTAAAGACAATACTATGTATGATCTAATGAAATCTTTATGAAGGCTGTTGATCACCTGTTATTTATCTGAATGAATCCTCTATGTCCTAAAAGCAATTTTTTTTTTAATTTTAGCTTTTGTCAAGAGTGACAAACCCAAACTATTTAGGGGACTACAAATCAAGGTAAGAAATTTTTGCCCATTTTGACTGAGGAGAGGGGTAGGGCAAAAACAGATCATTTAGAATGTAAAATTTTATTTATTGAAACAATAAATTATGTTTATTCAGTTCCCTTAAAATTGGATCCAGTTTCCTGAGGGCATGAGTAATTGTAACTAATGTTGACAGGAGTAATTGATCAGTTAAAACTGGAAGGAGAAGATAAATTTGCTCCAACTAAAACCCACATCCTAGACAAGGTATCAGTAATCTATTAGGCTCATGGGTAGCACAAGGTAACCCCTCAAAAAGCTATTCAGATTGACATGTTGGAAGACAGCATGTGGATACAGAGCCAGCCTCAAAGCCAAGAAGGCCTGGATTCAGGTCCTGCATCTTACCAGTGCTTGGTTTAACCTCTCAGTGCTTTAGGCACGTCTCTAATAATGTTAAGTTGTAGAGAAAGTGCCAACTTGTTTTAATGGAATTTCTCTTGTAGGGGTGTTCAGTACCAGTGAAATAACAGATCCAGGCCCTATCCTCCTTGTGGGCTCTGCAAAGTAATATCATAGGAGAAGTTCATAGGCACATATTGCATCGAATGAGTCCAGTCTGACCATCAACTGCCTTTAAATGGAGCACCCCTCACAATACAAGAAGGCTGCTTTTAAATCCCTGAAATTGGCTTTACAAACAACTTAGAAGCTTACATTTTTTATTTGATTAAAACTAACAAACTTGGTTTTATGCTGAAAACGCCCAAATTCACATTCATATTGGGAGTAAAAAATCCCTGCTTGATTGAGTGATTTCTCTGAGCATCATCAGTTTCCTCATTGGCAAAATTATAGAGTTGGACTAATCATGTATGACAACACCTTTCAGTGTAGTTCCATATAGTTTCCATGACAGACAGAGCTAGCTTGCAAAAAGGATTTATGTACCTGACTCCAGCAAATGTTTGGAAAGCTCTCTTTGAAAGTGACCCTGCTAGGAAAATTCAGTATGAAATGTTATCAGCACGGCTCCCGGAGATGTTTCCCTGCTTCTCCTATGGCGGGGCTCAGCCGAGCCCCAGTGGCTTTAAAATGGCTTTAGATTGGATCTTCTACTTAAGTGAGTCAATTAGTTGATTCATTGTCCCACTGAGATTGGAACTTTGTGGAAATTCCGTAGGAACAAGAGATCTAACCAGGAAACTCACCTTAATTCTTGGTAGGCTGTGGTAAAATGGTTGTACTTCCTCACGAGCAGGAAAATTGTTAGTAACTTTATTGGGTCCATCTGAAATTCATGCTGACTACTGAATCCAGTGTGGACCCAGGGAGCACTTTGTCTACTTCTAAACTATGACTCAAAGTAACAGAAATTCAAAAGAGGTGCAGTTTTTTTCTTTTAAAAACAATGTTGAAGGGTCTCAACTGTCTTGTTGGGAAGATAATTCATTTGCCAGCTTTATCAGTATTGCTGTTCTTGGCAATCTGTTAGATTCTCCAAGCTACTGTCATTGCCCTGTCAATGAATTTCCTATTGGAATTTAGACAAGTAGTACATTGCCACTTTCTTATTTATACAATTTGTCCTATTTCGGAAAAGGATGTTTTAGCGGACTTCATTTTCAGTAAGGATTTGTAAAAGAAAAGCCTATCCCTTTTGAAGTCAACTGATTATTTTTAATCCCATTGTTCAACTGACAACAATTGATTACAATAATAATTTTTGTCTCAATTATATATTCTTACATAGTCTATGTGATACATACTCCTTGTCTGAATTTCACTAGGACACTTAGGACAGAAGCATGACAGTGACCTAGAGAATTTGGCTAGCAGATTGCCGTCTTGTTCGGTCTTGCTGTTTTTGGCAATTGACTAAATTATCTCATCATTTGTAACTGAAACTCATTTGAAAAAAACTTAAATCTGCAAAGAAAAGGGGACCAGTCTTGCAACTCAGTTTTACATTTTTCAAAAATATATCGATAGATGTGTTAGTATTTTGTATGTTTTAATGCATAATGTCACCCAAGTGTTTACAATAATTGTCATCATTTACAAAATATGTTAAATGAGTCTGTCTGTCATACTTGGCATCTCAGCTATGATAGTTATTGCTTAGAAAGTGAATTAAAGAGTATAACTTGTGTCATAACCTCCCTGAGAGAGAAGGCATGAGCTACAAAGGAGACCTGTAAATGACATACAAGGAGAGACTGCAGCCAGACGGATGGCTGAGCAATACATTGGTTCTCTTGGAAGACTAAAGAGAACCACAGGAAGGTCTCCTGAGGACTGGACAGGTCCTCCCTGAAGGATTCTGTGAGAAGGTGGGACAGACTGTGTCCCTGAGGTTGTTGGAAGAAAGCAGCCCCATCACAACTTCAGAGTCTCTTGAGGACACGGATTCCGTCCTGTCCAGTCTTTATCTCCTCCACTCCTTGCACCAGGCTTTTACCAGCAGGGCACCAAGCACTTTATTGAAGAGTTTCTTTCATATCATGGTACAAAGTAAATATGTCCTAAAAACTGGCGATTTTTTAAACTATCAGATACAAAATCACTGTATAAAACTTGAACTGTAAGAAGTTAATCACTTAATGCACCACACAACAGTCGTTGCAAAATCAAATTCCTTAGTGAATTGTAAGGACATTTTTATCCTGGGTTTATCAGAGTTCCTCTGAGGAATATTTATATTGATACTATGTATGTTTGTATATTTAACATCTTTTTTTGAAAAATTATATTTAGCTTCGGCTGAATATAATTGTACAGTCGGGATGGGATGAGGGGGTGGCACAAGAATCTTTGCTATCAGAAATTGATGATCATTCTCTTTTGTGCAGTATGTTCTTGGTTCAGACCCTGTGCTAAAGCTGTTGGATGACAGTGGGAACATTGCTGAAGAACTAAGCATCCTCAAATGGAACACGGATAGTGTAGAAGAATTCCTCAGTGAAAAATTAGAACGTGTATAAAATACACTTTCAGTTTTGTCATATCATTTATTTTCTTCTTAAGTGAATTTTACAGTACAGATCATTGTAATCTTCAGTCACCTTTGAGCAATTAATTCCTTACTGTATAGCATTAAGTACTTTCTGCTTTGAATTGAAAGTTTCTGCACTGCACGTGATTTAAAACAAGTTGGCCAACTGTACAAAGAGTCCATTTTAATCTATTCTCACTCTAGTTGTTACCACTTAAGAGATGCTTTGTAACAAACCTGTAATTACGTACATGCTAGGATTTGTTATGATTGGACCAGTTCAACACACCATAGACTCGGCAGGAGAACAAGGAGAGGATGACCACGTCTTGTCTGTGTGCTGTGCTCCTTCTTTGTAAGCACTGATTGGAAGTTGCAAGCAGATGTAATGTATTGTGCCTCAGACATTGCCTGCCAATGACCTCTTTGTTTCTGTGACACCCCAGCTTTCCTTTTAATACAAATATGTAGTTTATAATGAATGCTAGTTCAGAAAATGTTTCATCATTGTTCACAGACTCAGCGTTTGTAGCATTCTGTGAGACACTCTGAGAAGCGCACGTTAGTGACGATCACACAGAAAACCCCGAGAGGACTTGTGTGGATCTGATGTTTGGTGTAGTCTTTTCAGTGTTTGACTTTGCTACGGTGAATGAGTCAGAAAAAGATTCATTTATTAAACTGAACTAGAATTAAAAAGTTTTCCACCTCTTGTCTCAATGTGAAATTCTTCAGGGGATTATTTTAATGCATTTTTTTTCCTGCTCGAATGACACATTTTCCCCATATATATTTTAGCAAGTCTTAAAATATACTCGCATCTTATTTTTAACAAAATTCCCAGAACCACTGTGCTACTTTGAAACATCTAACAGTTGCCATTGTTATTCATACTTTACATGTTTATGGTGCTTTATGTTTCAAAGCACTGTACAACACATGTTTTAAATACATTAGATAATTTAAATTTGTAACCTAAAAGATTAAATTAGACAAGCCCTATAATGGTTCAGAATTTACCTCCTTTTGTCCCTAAATCATTAAAAGATCTTGGTCTAGATTGGAGGTGTCAGACTCTGTCCAGTGCAACCATGAAGGAACCAGATTAAAATATAATCGAGAAATGTTTACCAAAATAAGTAAAAATACAATACAACATAGATAATGTTAATTTGTGATTTTCTAAGGCAGAGTCCTGCCTTCTATTTCTCTTTGAGTTTGACATCACTGATCCAGACATAGGGGTTCCCAAAGTGGGTGATGCCTCCCCTTAAGGAGTGCTAGAACGATTCAGGAGGGCAGTAGTAGCCTCGGGTGCAATTGGGGGGCTTTGAACAAAAATAAGGGGGCAGTGGGAGCGGAAGGAAACAAGAGAAGAAAATTTTGAAAAACTCTTCATACATGTTTTATCTGTTGTATAACAATTAAAGTCATAGGAATTACATTATTTTCCAAATAAACACACAAAATACAAGTAATAACCAGTGGTCAAGTCTGCCAACAGGTCTTAACAAGCAAGTGTTGGCAGGCCAGGGCATTGTCCATTGATGGGAAGCCCAGCATGTATCAGCAGGAATATGTGCATGTAATGACTTGTTTACAATATGATACTATACAGTTACATGATACAATATTGTGTCATTGAAATTTCAATGCAGGAAAAAACCCACAATTTACAATAAATTATTAAATGTAAGATGCATCTTTTTTTTTAAATTACATTCTCTTTGAAATGATGCAAATTTCAAAACAAAAAAAAACCATTAAAGGGTTAAAGATTTCCTGGGGGGTGCTGAGTAATTTTTTTTAAGGGAGCAGTAGGCTAAATAAGTTTGGGAACCTCTGATCTAGAGTATCAAAGTCGATTTTTCATTATAGAAATGACAGATTAACTACACTAGCGCCCATGGTAGTACAAGGTCCTTTTAAGTGATTTAACCTATCTCTGACTGTTCAAATTAGTTTCAGAGTTGTTTCTGCAATGAAGTCAAAAAATGTCGAACAGTTATGAGACTTCCTTTAGTTATTGGTTTCAACCTCAGAGAATAAATGCATAATGAAGTCTACGTTTGAGAAGTTTTTAAAGAACAATCATTCAGTGGTGTAACAATGTAATAAAATATCACCGTGTTGTAGTATGATAAATACGGAGAAGCATGGAAGGATCTCTAAGAACTGAAGCAGAGTGAAGTAAGCAGAACCAGGAAAACAACATACACAGTAACTATAACAATGGAAATGGAAATAACGACCACCCAGAAATAAAAATCAAAAGCAAGTGGTACAGGATTACAAAGAACAGATATGAGCAGATACCTCTCTCCTTTACAGAAGGCCACAAATGGGGTATGTTGCATATATTGTCAGATTTTTTTGGACAGATTTTTTTTTCTTGTTTTTTTTTCTTTTTGCCTTTAAGAAATATTGTTTGGTATATGGGATTACTCTGGGAAAGGGAGAGATAATGGAGGAAGTGTTTTATGTGTGTAGTTTGTCCTTAAGTCTCAAAGAGGACCGTGACATCAGGAAGATGATGCCATGACTTGCAAGTGAATTGGATTATAGTGAGGAAGGGCTGTGCAAAGTCACCAGCCTCACTTTCTCCTCCAGAACCCGTGGGTCCAGTTGCAAGATACAGATCAAGACAACTGGAGATGGCCCAGCTGAGGAGGAAATGTTAGTGATATAAAAAAGACATCAATTCTTTTTAAAGGTAGTACTAAGAAATTTTTATGGAATTTCTTTTACGTTAGCATGATGCAGCAGGAACTTAAATCTCAGCTGCCTCCCATCACGTGCTTGTGTGACCCAAAGCAAGTTACTTACCCTCTCTGAGCCTTATCTCTTCATATAAAAAAATGACTAGTCACTTAACATCCATTCTAGCTCTAAATCTATGATCCTATTAATCCTGTTTGCTTTAATTATGAATTAGAAGTCTCCACTCACACCTGGTGTCCTATAATAAAGTGCAGTATTTTTCTTTCAAAAGTCAATAGGACATAAACATTAATAGGAAGCTTTATTAAACAAGATGCTATGTTGAGGGAGAGAATTCACTTTTAGTGATTTTAGCAAAATATCTTGCAACATTTGACCATCCAATGCATATTTGCAGGTGAAATTTAAGGAAAGCAAAGATAATAAAATCAGATAACCAAAATGTAGTAATCTGTTTCCATTAGGTAAACAATAGAAACTTGACACATTTGAACTCTGTTTAATCTCAGTACAGGAAGCTAGAAAATGACAGTGACCCTTGAAATCAGGAAGAGCTCAATCTAAGTGAAAGGAAGATCCATATGGGGAGCAACCCATTGTTAAAGGCAATCAGAAAATTTACAGTAAGAACTCTTAAAAAGGGAAAGATTGCAAAAGAAAAAAAGAAGTCGAGCCCTCCGCTATGCCTCACCCCCTGAAAAAAAGCAATCAAGATGATAGCAGGGGCAGGTAGGTGGCTCTGATAGAGCACTGGCCCCAGAGTCCAGAGGACCTGAGTTCAAATCCAGCCTCAGACACTTGACATCAGCTGTGTGACCCTGGGCAAGTCACTTAACCCCAATTGCCTCACCAAAAAAGATGGTATCAACAACTACTAATCCATATGACTGCTTTATAGGAATGCTCTACGCGCATTTTTTGGATGCCCAGTGAAAACTTGGCAACTGGCGGGTTTTCTCAGTCTTTGCTATATAGTAGAATGTATCTTTGTTTCAATAGAGCATTTATTAAGCACTTACTGTATGCAAAGCACTGTGTTAAGTGCTGGGAATACGAATAGGAAACTCAGTTTAACCAGAGAGCTCACATTCTAATGGGGAAAACAAAATTTGGAAGGTTTCAACTGCAAGGCAGTTGTGAAGGTCCCATGGTCCTTAGAGTGCAGTAACGGTAGCTGATGTAGACAATACAGCATCCTACTGTTTAATTCTTCTCAATTAGTAGAACAAAATTTAGGTCTCAGAGAATTTCTTTCACATATCCATTAAAATTACATTTGACAAATTTACTGCAGATGATTCTATTCAAAGATCCGCTGAATAGTGATAATTGGGCATTTAATAAGTGCTTACTGGGTGTTAGTGCAGGGGATACAAATAAAAGTAAAAGTCCCTGCCCTCAAGGAGCTTATGTTCTAAAGAGGGAATCAGCATTCAAATAGTTAGATTTATACAAGGTGCAGACAATCTTCGTGGAAGGTAGTCTTAAAGGTAAGGCACTATCAGTGGAGTAAAGTGCGAGCAGTGAGGAATAGGACAAGGGAAGGCTTCATTGAAGGTGGATTTTAGGTGGATCATGAAAGAGGCTAAGGAAGCTAGGAGGAGAGAAAGGAAAGCAGTCCAAGTGTGGGGAATAGACAGTGAAAAAACATGGAGTCCAGAAATGGCCAGTATAGTTGGATCGTAGAATATATGGAAGAGAGCGAAGTATAAGAAGCCTCGAAAACTTGAAGCTGGATTATATAAAGGACTTTAAATGTCAAATGAAACTTTTTATATTTGATCTGGAGGTAATAGGGAGCCACAAGTTTAATGAATGGGGAGAAGGGTGGTGATATGGTCATACCTACACTTCATGTTGTTAGTTGAGTGGGTTGGGGTAGAAAGAGTTGGGGCTGGAAAACCAACCCAAAAGCAATTACAATAGTCCAGGTGTGAGGTGATGAGGGCTTACACCAGTGGGGTGTTTGTGAGTGGAGAGAAAGAGGTATATACAAGAGATTTGGAGGTAGAATCCACAAGATTTGGCAACAGATTAGATATGTGAGATTTGAGGATGATACCTAGTTTGTGAACCTAGGCATCTGGGAGTATAGTAACCTTCAACAGTATTAGGAAAGTTAGGAAGAGAGGAGGTTTTGGGGAAAAGATGATGAGTTCAGCTTTGGACATGTTGAGTTTGAGATGCCTGTGAGACAATCAATTGAAGATGTCCAAAAGTAAGCTGATGATTCTAGATAACTTCAGTAGAGACATTAGGACTGGTTATATAGATCTACTTAGAGATAATAATTGAACCCACAGGAATTGATGAGATCACCAAGTGAGATAGCATAGAATAGGGCTTCTTAACCTTTTTTTGTTTTCTGGACCCTGTTGGAAGCCTGGCGAATCCTATGGAACCTTTCTCAGAATAAAGTTCAAAAAAGAAAGTACATGTGATTACAAAAGAAACCAATCATATTGAAATACAGTTATCATGGATCCCAGATTAAGAATCCCCGATATAGAGGAAGAAGCTGGAGGACTCAGACCACAGCCTGAGAGGTGAGGGCTTGTGAGGGAATGAAGGCATTGTTGAGGGAGGGGTGGAATGACACTGAATTGTGTGTCAGATAAGAGAGTTCCCAAGTTCATGAACAAGGAGAATATGACTGTCTTCTGATGTTACAAAGTTAACCAATGAACTCTTAATTGCCAAATCTCAGTCTCTTCTCAGGACTCATCCTTCTTGACCTCTCTATAGCATTTGACATGGCTTGACCATCATGCTCTGGATACTCTGTCCTCTCTCAGTCTTTGTAACACTACTCTCTCCTGCTTGCCCTTCCACCTGCCCAACCACCCTTCAATCTCCTTTGCCAGCTACTTTGTGCTGTCTTCATTAAAATGTAAGTTCCTTGATCAGGGATGGTCCTATTTAGGATTTTCCTATTCATTTCCCCAGGATTTAAGTGCTTAATATGTTGTTGTTTTTTTTAATTCATTGTGTTC